GACTGCTTTGCTGCTGGAACATTTTGTTCTGAAGTTTGTGGATGCCAACAGTGCGTTAACAGACCAGAAAATGAGGATACTATCCATGAAGCCAGGCAGCAGATAGAGTCTCGAAATCCACTTGCATTTGCTCCTAAGGTTGTTCTTTATGTCAGTAATCCTCCAAAAGACAGTGAAGTAAGAATTTTATAACATATTAGTTCGTCTCATTAATAAATTCTTTCCTGGGTACTGATTGAGTTTTACATTCTGCAGGAGAGTACAGGGACAACCCCATCCTCTGCCAGACACAAAAGAGGGTGCAATTGCAAAAAGTCACTTTGCCTCAAGAAATACTGTGAATGTTATCAGGTTGCTTAACAGTAATATGATTTTGCTACACTTTTTGCTTCTTAACTCTATCTTGATTTAATGGTTTTTCTTTGCCATCTTTTTTTTGCCAAGGCTGGTGTTGGATGTTCTTTTGGATGCCGATGTGAAGGTTGTAAAAATACTTTTGGCAGAAAAGATGGTAAGAGTATGAAATGAAATTTGCTGTGCTGTAATTACTTTGGACTACAAAAAATTGTGGTCATTGAACAAACCTACATTTCCATAACTAAATGAAAAAATAGACCAGTTTATTCATCTTACTTCAACATGTCTATGGAGCTAAACTTGTCATTATAAGCTGTGTTCCTCAAATTTGAATGTCTATGTTTCATCCTTGTAACTGTTCTTTAGCATTTCATTCTCAATTGGCATGGTGCTTAAATTTTATGTTTCCTTTGACTGAATGATTTCCCATGTAGTTATGGTTTTGAGTAGCACCAATTTTAGTTTCTTATCTTTGTTGGGCACATGTTATCTATTTTGTCCTTTTAACATGACATACTTATCCATGCAGCATTAGGAGTTTCACTGCTGTTCATTAAAAGTTCCCTTTGCGAAGGCTGGATTGGACCTTTTCATCATATCCAATTGTATATTTGCTCCTGAGCATTTTTATCTGATCTCTAGGTTCTTGTCCATTAATAGTCAAAATAGTCAGAAGCTATCTCACGCATTTGTTTTTTAATTATTTAACATGGACAGGATTTTGACATTTACAGTGTCCTTACAAACCTTTGTTCCATATATATACACCTCATATAACCGTTTATGCCATAGAAATTATGTACAGCAAATTGTATGCATCTAATGCAAGTCTTGGAAAGTTTTAAACACACTGCATGAAACTTTTCAAGCTGGTGTATTTTTGAGATCCACTAGGAGTGGTCATGGGCCAGCTTTCTTTACCTGGTTTTAAGTTCTCCCTTTTTTCTTTTTGGAGGTTTTGCTGGGGGTGTTTAGGCTGGGGAGAGAGGAGGTTGAGGATGCTTGAATTGACAACCAGACGAGAATTGTAGTTCATTGCTTGATCGTAGTTCATATCCAGTCTAAACACCCCAAACAAGAAATGATTTGGATATTTATTATCCAATTGCTTGGGTTTTATTCTTTCTTTGATTCTGTACTTATTTTGTATAGTGTGATGCTCATCCAAGGAAAACTTTTGCTAATATAATGAAAACATATATATACCATTTCTTACGGTCGGCTACATGGATTTTTCATTCACCATTGAACTTTATTAAGGTTAAAATGTAAAGGATGGCCTCACATAAGGCTCCAACTAATTTGGAGTCTGGGAAGTGTCACTGATCAAAACATTAGCCTTGCAAGTGAATCAAACCCTAGTCATTTAAATCATAATGAAACAACCTTACAGTCATATGAAGAACCACCTATTATTAAGTGTACCTAGTCACTTTAACCGTAAATGGTTAACATTACTGGGACATCGAGGCCTGCCCTCTTTTATGATCACAAAATCACTAGTCAAAATAAGAGCCATCAGATAATTATTTGTCCTTCATGTTTTATGTTTTGTTGCCAACATAAAACCACCTTAAATGCTGTTCTTATTTATTTTTGATAAAAACAAGAGAAGAAACTTCTTATCTTTGTTTTCTAATAAACTTTTAACTGATATGTTGTATTAAATTATTAATTTGTATTACATTATATTCATCAATTTTTTGGAAATAGGCTTTATCCTAGTCTAATATCATGCTAGATTGGCAGTGACACTGTTAGCTGGATGAAAATTCTTCTTTGTTGCCCTTCAAAATTGATTGAAAAAATCACATCCATTTGTGCATGCTATTAAATGAGCTAGTTTGTGTTTGTGGGAAGTTTAGGCAATATCTTTAATCCTGATAATTTGGCAAGTTCTGGGCATTGGTTTGTTGAGAATATGAATAAGTTGGAGAATGTTAAAACATATAAATTTGCTAGAAAGCTATCTTCTGTAACAGTCATAAGCTGTTATGAATAGTACATGGCATGATAACATATAAATTTCTCCAGATATTATGTTGATATTTTCATTTAATATCTTATTTTCCTGACTACCAACAAGTATGCCTCCTTGTGCAGGATGTGCTGACATCATCGAAATCGAACATATGAAATCTAAGGAACAAAAGTTAGTGAGAGATCCATCTGCTGAAAACTCAAAGGAGAAATTGGTTACAAGGGAAGTGAACTTACACCTATCCCCGCTGACACCATCAATACAAAGCTCAAAGTAATTTTCATCATTTTGCCTCTGTGATTAATAATGATATCTTTTGATTGTTGATTTGCTTCTTGCGTGTTCCTGACCAGCTGCTTTATTTTCTCGTTTGCCCTCTTTGTCATCATCTGTGGCAGTGGAGTCGATGTGCCTAAGTCATTGCTTCCTATTACCTATTATGCTTCACCAGAAACAAGTGCTTCTGCTATACAATGTTATGAAGGATCACCAGGTTCTCCCATGAATATGATCAGCAAAAGTACATTTGAAATGGCAAGAGAAGATAATATGTTGCTGGTCCCAGATGATCAGGAAATAGATTTTGATATCAAAGTGGACACATTTTCTCCTGGTTGGGATGGTTTTCCGGACATATGCAATTTTAGTCCCTTACCAAATCCCCCACCAAGTAATGATGGTGCCTCTGTTTCATTTAAGACCAAAGAACCAAAGATTTTACAGACAAGATTATTTCAGGGAAGTTCCTTAGTAGGCACTCCTCTTCGCTGGCGTAGTTCACCAGTCACTCCTCTTCCTCAGTTTGGTAAAAGCAAGATACTATTGGAGCCAGACTCTGACAATGGACCAAATAAAAGTGTAGGGGATGATGCTCCCGAGGTTTTGGAGGATCCCTGCTCACCAATTAAGGCTGTTACGGCAAGTTCACCCAAACAGAAACGAGTTTCTCCACCTAAAAGGCTCTTTCAGGAGACTAGGTCGAGCTCTTCATCCGGTCTCAGGAGTGGTCGCAAATTCATATTGCAGTCTGTGCCTTCATTTCCTCCTCTTACTCCATACAGTAAGAACAGTCGAGGAAGTGGTACATGAAATTCAACTCAGTGAGATAAATAACATAGGTGCTTTAATGGTAATTATCATTGATCTACACTTCTCAGTTGTGGATATGATAGTAACGCACCTTAGAGTCTTTAAGTCAAAGGTATCTTTGCCAATGTGTATTTTCAATTTGGCTATTCGTGGTATTTGTTCTGCTGCCTGCTCTCTCGTATTGTTATATCTGAAGTTTTTCACATGCGGCTTCATTGGACAATAGATGTTCAGGAAGTACACAATAATTGGCATGTACACCATGCAATCAACTATACTGTCGTTTCTTTGACCACACACCCCCCCTGGGGCAATTTTTGATGTTAGGATGTTTACTTATCCTTTCTCTTAGTCACCAGTGATGAAAAAATTGCCATACATATATAGGTTGAGTTCTTTGTATTTAAAATGATCTGGACTTGAGAAAAAAATTGTCATACATATTTTAAATAGTCACCGGTCTCTTTTTAGTAAATTTTCTGATCTGGACTTGAGAATAATTTTGATATAAAATACATGGATGAGTTTATTAAATTTTCATTTACTGGTATGCGTTTCTATTTTGATTAGTTGAGGGATTATTACTCTCTTTATTATCTTACATGCTGCTAGTATGTTATGTGAAATAGGTACAAAACCAGCTGATCTTTGAAAACACTCCATTTTGAGTTTGATCTTGCAGCAGAGCGGGATTATGAAAATTCAGCTTCTTGAGGTACTTGATGACTGCATGTCACACCCATATAATCTATTCCACAAGGTAAATGTTTGTTTTTAATGATATTTTTCGAGATATTACATCTGGCATCCCCGGACATTGATTTAATAAATCCGTAGCGAATTTTTTTTGTGGAATTTCTTTATTGAACAGTTCTGAGGGGCTTAGCTAAATCAAGTTTATGGACTTAATTATCATACTGGAAGACAACCCCAGGGTTCTTATGATAACATTACATTGAATGATAGACTAAGGCTAAACTACAAATGGGTTAATTCATCGGGAACTAAAATTTTAAGTTGGTCAACAAAAGAAGGAAAAAGTTGTGTGCTGAATTTGCATGCCCCCAGCGTTGTTGATGTGCTTATAAATTCAGTTCAGTTCTTATCAACTAAGAAAATGTCATTGTTTTATCAACGACAGCCTTCGAGTTACTACAGCAACCCAAAAAGATTGTGATAGTTTGCTGTATAATCTTTAGCCATAACAATGGCCCCCACAATATTTCCTTGACTAGAATAAGTGCCTTCCGAATAATTTTTTTACCAGGTGGTTCTCAAGCAGCCATCTCCTCTTTTATCTTTATTGCCAGAATCCTCCGCAAACAAGTATAATTCTTGACTCCTAGAGAATCATACGAGAAATCTGTTCATGACGCAGGGCACAAACATGGAACCTTTTCCTTGTGAGGCTTCATCACCTGCTTAAGATATGTCATTCATTCTCACCGACTCCAGAACAACCGAGGAGTCAAAATTGCAACTCTAGAACTAATCCTTGTTCTTTCTTTTCTTTTCTTTTCGATGGCAGGATATGTTGTTACATCAGAACTGTGGGCCAAAGGAAGAAGAAAAGTCATCACAATTTAATCTCCAGACAATATGATTCAAGGGAAACAACATTCAGCATCCAAAAGAAACGAGAAAGAAGAACGCCAATTTGTATCAGTGTCATCGTCCCGACAGCTGCGACATAGCAGAGTAACTCGAGTACGTCGCGTGCGGTCCTTCTGACTGGCCTCCAACCGACGCCTCATTCCTAGGCCCAAATGTGCTGCAACTGCTGCTGGTGGCGGCGGCGCTTGTTTGATCCTCGTCCATTATGGATAGCAGGTCCACCACTATCATCTCCGTCTCCGGCGGCGCCCCGACGGCCAACCTCCCCTCGAGCATGTCGAACACCCGCGCCATGCTCGGCCGGAGCTCCGGCTGTTCCTGGATGCACCACAGCGCTACGTTCACCATCGTCGTTACCTGCCTCTCGTCAACCCTCTCTAGCCTCTCGTCCACCACCTCCATCACCCTCCCCTCCCTCGCCTTCTCCATCACGATTTTCGGGAAGTAGGACCACTTCCGCTGTTCCGCGTCGGCGGTGGGGTCGACCACGCGGACGTTCCGGCGGCCGCCCACCAGCTCCAGCAGCACCATCCCGTAGCTGTAGATGTCGGACCTCTCGGAGATGCCGGAGCCCAGGAGCCACTCCGGGGCCAGGTAGCCCCTGGTCCCTCTCACGCTCGCCACTATCCGGCTCTGGTCCCGGCTCATCAGCTTCGACAAGCCGAAGTCGGCGACGACCCCCCGGAAGCCCGTGTCGAGCAGTATGTTCTCCGGCTTGATGTCGAGGTGCAGGACGCGCGCCCGGCAGTCGTGGTGCAGGTAGGCCAGCGCCCGGGCGACGTCGATCGCCACCTGGTACCGCAACGGCCACGGCAGGCACTGCCCCCTCCGCGCGCGGTGTTCCCTTGCCGACGAGAATATCCAGCCGTCCAGGGATCCGTTCTCGATGAACTCGTAGACGAGGAAGCACGGACCGCCGCCGGGGACGAGGCAGTAGCCGAGGAGGCGCACCAGGTTGACGTGCTGGACGCTGGCGATGGCCGAGATCTCCGCCCGGAACTCCTTCTCGCCGTACTCCGCCCCCTCGATCCGCTTCACGGCGACGGGCGTGCCGTTGTCGAGGATCCCCTTGAAGACCGCCCCGGATCCTCCGCGTCCGATCAACGCCTGGAAGTTGTCGGTGGCGGCATCGAGTTCCTTGAGCGAGAACTTGGTCGGTAGCCCGGCGACCTTGCGGAAGAAGCTGTATTGGAACCGGAGCTCTTGGCCTTCGTTGGACAGTCGATGCAGAGCCGACGTCCGCCTCCGGTTCAGGATGATGTAGTGCACCAACAGCCACAGGGTGATGACCAGGACGACTGCTAAGCCTATGGCTGCTACGGTGAGGAAGTCCTTGGACGGCTCCACGCGCGAGAAGACAATCACGAGCAGGACGAGGAGGCAACCGATCCCTACGCAGGCTACAAGTTTCGCCTTCTTGGGCTCCATCGGAGGCTCATCACAAGGTATTAACCCTCTTCATCTTCTTCCCAATGTTCAAGCATTGACTTGTAAATACCAAAAGCCAAAGTGAGGGAGGGGCGAAGAGGTCTTAGAGAGAAACTATTGGAGTTCTTGTTCTTCTTTTCAGCTTCTCTTGCTTTTTCTTTCAACACGGTAATATTCAATGATCCCAAACCACATTGGAAAGAAGCATGACAATGAAAAAAATAGCTATTCCCTGGCACGGGCTTCACATATTTGGTGTACTAATAAACTGTTTTCAGGTTTTGAGCATAGCATATTATTCTGCAGGTCAACGGAATGGGATCTAAAGAGCTAAATGGATGATAACAAAAAGCTGTTGCCTTGCGTGGACTTTCAAGCGTTTGGTGCACAAGTCAACAACTGGGTTTGGGTTTGACCACACCATTTCATTTTCTCAATATAACTTTTCAAAATGTAAAGATCGATATATTAAAAATAATTCATTATAAGAAAAATATATAATTAGCTCACAATGTGCATTCATCGACTTCCCTGCTAAATGATTCTTATTTTGCGCAAGTAAAGCTTTCTTCTTTCTAGATGTTGCTGTTGGAAGGACTTCCCCTAACGTTCGTTGCGATCAGAAGACCAAGACTAAGAATGTCCACATCTCGCTTGTCTTGTTAAACAAGATAGATAGATAAATAGAACGACGGTAGGTGAAGACCTAAGGGAAACTGCGTCGTGACTCATTGCTTCTGGGATTTGGTCAACAAAGATGAGCTTTCGTACGTTTAGCTAAGAAAAATTCATGGTTCAAAATCGATCAACGTTCCATCAAAAATGAAGAGAGGGAGAAGACAGGAGGTCAGTCGCCTCACGAGAATGTGGATGCATATGCATGCAGTGCGGTGTCTTTTACTGGTTCCATTAAGTGTTTCAAGTCATGCATTCTAGAGACAGATACTCCTAACCTTAATTCTGGAGCCTCCATAACTCCGATCGATTCATAATTATTATTTTTGATAGCAAGTTCATTTCGATTTAGAATTATAAAGTTATTGATTGATTTTGATTTCGATTCAATTTTAATTAGGAACAAAGAGAAAATGTAATTCATATATATATATATATATATATATATATATATATTCATTGTAATACACCAAAAATGTAATTCATATAATTTACATAACTGAAGATAAAATATCACAAATAACAAAATATACTATTTGAATTGCCAATAATGACAGTTGATAGATACCGAACACCGCACTCCAAAGGTAATTATTTGTCCTTACTTGCAATTAAGCTTGGAAAATGATCATTCGCCGTCCGTTGTACCCCTTCTGATGATCCGGACCGTAGATCCGAGTGTTCACAAATCGCAAAGGCCTCGCGCTCACGGACTTGTGAGGCACGCAGAAAACCGGATTGGATACGTCCTATCGGTTCCATTTTATATTTCTCCCACCGTATGGGGTATAAATTCCATTAATTTTCTCCTTTGGGCTGTTTCGGAGGCAGGAAAAGGCCGCCAATGATTAAAGATAATTAAACCAAAAAAGAGTAATTTTGAAGAACAAGCGGTGTCGATCGATCGGCTCTCTCATCTGTCCTCGTCGTCGTTGTTTCCGTCGAAGGTTGGTAATGTATCGGTCATCCGTAACTCGTCGATTTGTCGTTTGTAATCGGTGAATCAATTGCTTTTATCCTTCTTTTTCCTTTCCAAATCCTGCATTCGCCAGACCCTATCGAACATTATCACTTCTCTTGGTGATTTCTTTTTCGGTTTTACATATTTTGTTCCCTTTTCGCTCGAATTTTATGTTGTTGAGAAGAAACTTTTTTGCTTTGATTTTTCACCAACTAGAGTTGAATCCCTATCGATCCACTTTGATAGCATTACATGCTTCTGGTCCAATCAGTTGGGAACAGGAAGCATTGATAACAAACCTCCATCTAGCGTTGAACATATCAAATGATGAACACTTAGTGGAGCTAAGGAACTTAATACATTCTGAAATAATCACAGAAACCTCAGTTTCTAGAAGACATGCTTAGGTCTTGCAAAGTTGCCAACAGGCCTCAGGATTGTTCTAATAATCTGTTGTGGTCTTGCAAAATTACCATAACCTCAGGATGCTTAGGTTCATATGTCAGATGGCAGTTGAAGCTGTAGCTGTGTATTTAATATTCGAAATTACATTTCTAAATGTCAGGGTAGTCACTTTCTGTGACAAAATCTTTTTGTATTATAAACATTTAGCTATATGATGTATTCTCTGTGGGAAGTTCTTTACATTTCTGAACTTGATGTTAATTATTTGACTTTCTTTTTGCCCTGAAATAACAACTTTATTCAACATATCTGTGTATATATACATGTTGGAACAGATATATGAATATGTTTTGGTGGAGATTGCCCTGTTAATAGAGAACTATTTTGTACATCAGATATCAATTGTTATGGGTGTCATCCAGCATCAAGTTGGTGTTTGCATGCCTTCCACCCATAGGTGTTGTTAAGGTGGGCAATCACTTGTTGCTCTCATAACCAAATTTATACCGAACTTAACTTCTTACTTGTATCTTGTGATTTTTGTTGAAACCAAAATGCCATTACAGTATGTTTGACAAGTTTAATTTGTGAAAGGATGATTCTGATACTCTAATAATTAGTTTTATGCTTGGGGACTTCTATCTGTAGATCCTTGGTGAACATATACGTATACTTGCTTCAATTTTGGTTCTCCTGAATTCATATGATGGAAGTGTTTTTGCATGAACAATATTAATTTATTTGTTGTTGTCATGTATGATATAGTGGATAATCAATTTTGACCTTCACCACAGTGATGTGAATATCCTCGTAATTGATGACGATCATCTATACATAGTTTTGTATTGATTCCAGATCTCATGAGCATGAACACTATTGATGCAACAGATCCATTAGATTGACTTCAATGAATTGTTCCATTTGGGACATATTTGATGCTTAATATGTCTCTTCCAGGGCCAAAGTTGGAGGCTTCTAAACACTGCTTCCACAGGCCTGTGATGATGGAGTTGTCATGCCTTTTGCACTTCAAACAGTGTGACAATACTTCCATCTTATTCTTATGGCTACAACAGTATATTTGATCATTTGGTACTTCTATTTCTTTTACCTTCTATTTCAGGCTTACTTTCTGCATGTGATACATGCATGATGGAAGAAACTTCACCAAAAGTATTCTAAGAAAGCTTTTTCTTTCAGTTGTTTTTTTGCTATTTAATATTTGATCTCTAATGTATTTGTCGATATACATGCAGTACAATTGTTGTTAGGACTCAGTACTTATGCATCATAACCATGTGTTTATAATTGTGATATATTTACTGATGCTGCATCACAAACAAATCTAGCTTTGAAACATCTCTTTCTGTGTACAGCATGCTGGAGGTTTTGTGCATTTAAGCTAACAACCTTTTCTCATGCTGAACTTATTTGCATGGAAATTTCAAATTTTGATATGAGTTAACAATTCTGTTTAACATACCCATGCGTCACTTTCAGTTATTTGTTTCCAGAGTGGTGAGATCTTAGGCAGAATGATCAATATAATAATTAAAAATCACCTAGCTGTCATTTCTCCATATTTAGATTATCAATTAAGAGATGAACATCCCTTGGCATGAGTTCTATTGAAATGCACATTGGCTAACTTTTAGTTCCCGTTGTTGTCCTTGTGCATCACCTAGCAATGTTTGTTTTAACTTAACATTTAAATAGTTTCACACTGAAAGTTGATGATGAATTGGATTGGCTTATATAATACTAGATGTGCCTATATTAATAATTTGGGTTTTAGTGTTTTGTGACCCTATCTAAATTGTGATTATTGTTAATATAGCAAAGTTAGGACCACTGCTGCGAGGTCTTAATGATGTACTGGTTAAAAATGTATAGCTCGATACCTGTACATATCAATTATTTTTAATTTTTAATTATTTTATTGGGTGGTATCAGTCAGTATCGGTCTGGTAGGTTGCGAAAACAGGGTTTGGAGGGATCTTAAATCCTTGCACTAGACAGATTCCCTATTCCAATATAAATCACCTACAAACTGGTGGTGCAAGGTGCATCTTGTGGCGTGAAACTGCTATTAGGGTTCTATGCATTCCACATATCACCTATTAGGAAATGATTTTAGGCTTTGTGTTCTCTATTTGGCCTGTTGAGGACATCAAGGCTTTGATTGGAGGAGACTGTGACAATAGTGATGCAACATTGAAAGATGATAATGAATTGGATTAACTTGTCAAACTAGATGGGTCTGCTACTAAGTAATTTGGATAAGACATTTTGGAGTTATGGGCCAAACTTGTTTTATCTAATTTATCAAACCAGTATATGTATCAGGTTGTTTTCTGACAATATTCTTTAATGGATAATTGACCTTGAACTAGACTAGTTATGTGCAAAGGTTTAGTTGCATTATTGCTTTTCAAAGTTCAAATGATTAACAATAATGAGCAAGGATAGTGTAAGAAGTTGTTTGGATCGTACGATGTAAGTAGGTTATATTCTTCTATATTTTATACTTATCTTTCAGTATAATACTAGTGCCAGAATTATCTATCCTATGTATTCTTCTTTACTCATATATATAGTACATGTATGAATTTTTTCTAATGTTTAGGCCTAGCATTTATCTTTGCGATCAACATACCTCTTTCCAAAATCTTGGTCATTGTCCTGTTTTTCTTGATGAACCTTCTAAATATGTATGTTTTTTAGTTTGTTGCCTCAGTGTATCCTGTTCTCTTCACCCTTCATTGGTCTTCTAGAGTTAATTACTTAAATATTTCTCGAGCAACTCTTTTTTCTATTAACTCATGCTCCTTCCCTCTGTTGTCCTCTTTCTATAATTACAATCCTTTGTCCATGTCACATTCTCAGAATCCTCTCCTTTTACATTGACTGGAGAGGAACCTAATAAATTTTATGATTCGAGCATTGCGGAATGAGGCTGTCAGTCTATCTAGCATGTCGAGGTAGGTTATTAGGTAGGTACATGGGGTAAATTAAAAGATAAAAAATTCAACTAATATAATCATAATACATATACATTACTTATCAAGAATTCTTATGTTAATCACATGTCTATCAAAAGCAACACAATGTTAAAAAATGAACTTATCACAAGTTCTAGAGATGTACATATCAATTGACTTGAGCAGCTACATCGCATATGCATTTGGAAAATCTAAATGGCTTTGCATAATCCACTATGCATATCTGGTTTTATGTTTGGCTGTCAAGTGCGAAGATAGGCTTTTTTGGTAGTAAATTGAACCCAAAATAATGGGCCAGGTAAGCTTGTATAAAGTGCCAGAGCTTGTAATTTTCAGACAATCTATGATGACAACCATGGATATAACTTGAAAGCCTAAGCAAAGTTGGGGTTCTAGGTGATAATTCAGACAGCAAAGTTAAAATAAATGCTCATATGATCTTTAAATCAGCTATTGTTGGCATGTTCTCATATTCAACATTATCTTTACAAGATTAGCATTTTATCATGCTTAAATTCATAGAATTTAATTTGTAGTCAATAACAAACACAAAGATAATATATATTAATCCATTCTAATCCCAAGTGTATATTGATATTATACTTCATTAGAAGGTATACTAGTGATATTGAATGACATTATTGAATATACATAAGAATTCCATGAAAAAAGGCACAACACTGTAGAAGATAACTAACTAAATTGTTATCAAGGGTAATACTAAGTTATCGAAAATCAAAATTCTTTAACTAAATATTATTATGTGTAGTGTGTATTGTTTGAGAGTGTATATGCATTTGGTCATACTAAGTATATGAATTATTTAACTGAATTCTTTAACTAAATATACGCATTTTAGTAGTATCTATGGAATAGAAAAGTCATATATACATACATACATACATACTCACACACACACACACATATATATATGTATATATGTATATATATATATATATGTATATATATATATATATATATATATATATA